CTTTAATTGCTTTAACAGATCTGAACACAAAGCACTGACTCAATAAATATTTATTAGGAAGTCTGCAACTTCAAGATGTCCTTTTTACTGGGACCTTGCTGGGGATGGAAATGTCAAAATAACCACATCTTGTGGTGTTACTCATTTAAGTCGTATAAGACTTAAAAATTAAGGGGCCAGTCTGTCAGAAAAGCAACAAAAGTCTCTGCTGTCTAGGGAATTATTTGCATTCAGTGAACCTTTTCTCCTTGAAACTGGTTTTCCCTAAAATCTGTAGTTGAAAAACAAAAGAGCAGCAGCAAACACCCAAGTTATTTCCCACCCTCACCCTTCAGCAAGATTTATGAAAATGTTCCCATCAAGGCACTAAAGGGAAAGAAGCATATGGTGTTAATTGCAGTTATTTTTTTGTAATTACAAAAGAAAGTAAGTAAGGCACACCAACCAGCCTGCTACAGCTAGAGACACACCAGCAGCACTAGCGTTCCGGGCTCAGTGCTCTCCTCCTGACTCCTATCACTTCTCATCTCCATTTTGTAGCAAAGAGTTCAAGTGCTCCTGCTCTGATCTGCTTCCCTTTTTAATCCTCAGCTGTAAGTGAGGCAGAGCAAGCCAGTAATAAATCTGGTGCTGGAGTCCAGACCCCAAAAGGTACCTAAGGGCTCACTGTGGTGCTGCTCTATATCTCTGCCAGCTGGGGCAATCTCGCTCCTCAAACCTGGCTCGGCCCCACTGCACTTCAGGGATCAAGGTGCCTCCAGCCACCTAAGAGGAGAGATGCTTAAGATGTCCAGGCTCCTTTTCACCATCAGCTATCCACAGCAGCCTAGTCCTTTGGCAGTGGCAGGCCAAGGATGGACATCAGAACCCTAGGGAAGACTCAGATCCTTCAAAAGTGAGGACCCCAAGTAGCAGAAAGCACCAAGGGCACCCAGCCCACTCAGCAGGAACAGTCTCCTACTCCTTTGGGCCCTTCTGCTCATTCTCCTGCCCCCTCATCCCATCAGCATTGTTCATGAGAAAGAGGAGGAGCTGACAATCTTCTACCCAGCATAAATTTGGGGGGCCCATGGAAACTAACTTCTAGTAAAAGACCAACTCTGACAATCCTGACAAAGTACATCTGGTTTCTCAGGCATCTCTGATGCCCGAGAGTGAAACTACATCTCCTGGGGGGAGTTGTCAGCCTCTGGTGCCAAGAGTCCTTTGATACTTTCAGCGAAGCATTTTTGACAAAGCAGCAAGGAAACCATTTTGTCCAAAACACTGAGGACCACATCACGACTTAAAACTTTGCCAACATAGGCTGCTTCTAGAAAATGAAATTTGCTGCCTTTCTCCTTCACTGCCCCACCAAAATAAGGGAACAAGAGCAAACCACTAAGAAGCTGGAATAGAAAGGAAATAAAATTTGTTTTCTCCAGCACCTATCACCTATAGCAGATTATGATATCCATCAGAGACCTAAAACTTGTATCAGCTCCAGTCTATATTGTGCACCACCATAATGACTCGAGACACAAGCCTTTTGAAGCTGGGACAAACAGAGCACACACAAAGTCTCATCGTCATTAACACGGGAAGGAGAAGAGACTAATACAGTGAAGGTGAAAGAACAAACACACGCAGGGCCTGCCGTCGCAGGGGGAGGCTTGGCAACTCCTAGAACAGCAGGATGAGCACGTACCCGGGGCTGCAATAAAAGTACTCAGCATAAACTAACTGATGAATATCACCCCATGTGACACAGGCTGACAACTTAATGAGCTGCTTTATCTTTTGCTGTGTAATTTCATCAGCTTTACAGCAGCTTCATCGCTTACCTTCCCAGCAGTCTGGTCTCTCATTTCAGGATATGAAAGTGTAAGATAGCAACATTCATACTCAGGAAATTAAAGCTACCCAGTATCTGTTTTAATAATCAGGATACTTGCTTCTATCATAGAACATTTTCTTCTCCCCCCCCAATCAAAGAGGAAAACAAACATTCAGAAAATGACCTTACCTATCGCTCAGTATTACTCAGCTTGAGATTTTAAGTCATATACTATCTGTATTCATCAGCAAAACTTGGGAAATGCTGGCAAAACAACTTGTCAAATACCGGCAAAATAAGAAGTTTGTGAAGAACTAGAATATTCTCAGTTTTACATATTCAGCATTCACAGAAGAAGAGGAATGATAGCAGTAACTAAAGTTACATCAATTTTATATAATTCAAGACCCACCCTCCGCCCCCCAAGCTGCTACATTGCATTGTAAACAGCAGGCTAAATAGTTGCTTAATTTCTACTATTACAAGACTGGTTGATACAATTTCAGAGACCTAGAGACACAATATTAAACAGTGTGCCCTAGTCTCTGTATTTTATAATGATCATGCACCTGTACCCCCATCTACTGTCTCATAACTTCCAGCTGAAACTTCATCAACCATCGTAAGTCCCATAATGGCCAAGTTTAGTCAATGCTTTGGAGTAGACTCCCGAGGATCTAGGCTCACTTCACAGGTCCATATATTTTCATACCAAGTTAAGTTAAGTCATTTTGAGCTACAGCTAACAAAGCACTCAAGCATAGTAACACTCAACTGCTGTACAGCAAAAGCACACACCAAGTCAGTCCCCTCAGACACCCAAAAAGTTTCAGGACCCTTTAGTCACCTACCTAGACAACTCAGAAGAGCAGAAAATGGGACCTTCCCATCCATTGCAGGCAGCTACCCTCTCCCCCAGTTTGAGATTAATAGACCCTAATTCTAATCTATAGCAGCTGGGGTTGTTTGGCTGTTCCCCACCCCTACACCTTTCCTTTTGCAGCTGTTTCCACTTTGCAAAGAAAATTAAGTTCTCTGTTGGCCACTAAAAAGCCACACGTGCCTGACTCTATCGCCTCTTAATCACATCTCCACAGAGCTTGAGACCCACCTTACAAATCCTGCTCCAATTAATATTTAAGCCATGTTATATGCTTGTCAGTGCAGCAGGCCAAAGCACCATGTTATTATGGGTAATGTCATGTGAGACATTTGTTGGATATTTTCACACTACTAGCAAAAAATCTAAAAATACTATACATTTTATAACAAAATTAAAAAAAAAAAACAAAAACCAAACCAGAACTGTTTATGCTTGGGGAGTGGGCCCTGAATGATCTACCAGAATGATTTGTCAGGTGCTTATTTCTTTCCTTTCTAACATGAGGGAGAACTGGGCCGCCCACTTATTCCAGTTAACTGTTCTTACTGGCCAGAGCAGGTCCTACCAATGCTGTCCCAAAAGCAAAACAGGCTGCACAGATCCCTCTTACTTTCCAGTATGTCTGGGTTTGCTCTGATAGAAATAGGTTAATTCAACTCTATTCAAGAAATACAGAAAAGTGGACCATTTCAAGTTAAATATATACTCATGTGCAAGAGAATGCTCCAGGGACATTATAGCAGCCTTCCAGTACCTGAAGGGGCTACAGGAGAGATGGGGAGGGACTCTTTATCAGGGAGTGTAGCCATAGGATGAGGGGTAATGGTTTTAAACTGAAAGAAGGAAGATTTACATTAGACATTAGGAAGAAATTCTTTGCTGTGAGGGTGGTGAGATGCTGGAACAGGTTGCCCAGGAAAGTTGTGGATACCTGTTCCCTGGAGGGGTTCAAGGCCAGGCTGGATGGGGCTTTGAGCAACCTGGTCTGGTGGGAGGTGTCCCTGCCCAGGGCAGGGGGTTGGAACTTCATGATCTTCAAGGTCCCTTCCAACCTGAACCATTCTATGATATACATAAATAGAAAAAAAAAATCTGCATGGGTGTACTAGAGCACCAGTTAATAACCTGTCCACTTCACTATGGCAAATACCAATTAGAGTACTGATCTCTTGCAGGTATGTCACAAAATGCAAGTTTTGCCATCAGCTTTCACTGGACTGAGTCTTCCAAATGTCTGTAATTATTCATCCAGAACAAATACCTAAAGGTACTTTGCCAAAACAAACTGTGTAATAATTGGCTGCTAATGACATCAGTTTTAATGGCATGAAAAATGAGTTTGCTGTTCAAAGGTCTATTGTATACTCACTTCTCAATGGAAAGCAGCTGGTTAGGTGCTAACTCGTCCACCCAACTACCCCCTTTTACCTTTATGAGCAAACGAAAGGGGGAGAGGAGAGTCTGAGTTGCCACCTGGTTCAAAGAACTCCAGCTGGTTGTACTTCCATCTTTTTGTTAAAGAGAGAAAAATCTTACCCTATTGCTTTGTATCCTTCACATGAACTAGAGTTTCTTCTGTTACTGCTGTTTGACATCCTTTACTGTCCCTCCCTATAAAATGGATTGAAAGTCTTCCTTGAGCAAGTACCTTTATATGAAGGAAAACAGTACCTGCACCAGAAGAAAAACTGTAGTTACATTTAGCAGGTATTACAGAGAATTATTAATTTCATGTCTATAATATTCTCAGCTACAAAATATGCAAAGGAAAAGCATACAGAATAATAATTTTAAAAAAAAAAAGATTTTGGATAAGCAGGATGATGTGCTGTCAAAATAGCTATTGCCAATGGTGGCATCAAATCTAGGATCAGTGTAGCTGTATCAGCAGAACATCAGTACTTGGAGCTTTTATAAACTGGTACAAACACAACCAGTGTTAACACTGGTATCAGTCCCTGTAAAGGAAACTGGCACCAGAATAAATACACTAATGAGGTTAATATGATCCAGGGTCCATTGGCAGGCACTTCTGTTACAGTTTGTACCAAACAGGCACCAAAGAGGAGAAGCACAGTAGGTCAGTCAGCACATGACACCCCTGCACAGTACAGCCACACGGGTCACTCCAGGGAGAGACAGACACGTTGGGAGTTTCCAGATCAGACTTTCCATGGAAATGCCCAGGATTCATAACTGGACTCCCTTAAGCTTTTACCCACTGAGGAGACAAGCAACAAGACATTCAAAAGGGATCTCTGTGGTGGGTAGAGCGTTTCAATTTAAAAAATGAAAGCAACCTTTCTGCATGCATGCAGGTTTATTTGTTGCTGATGGAATTACTTGTGTGCACAAAACCACAATGTGGCATTGTTCAGGTTTACAAAGAAAAAAACAAATTCAAAATAAATAAACACAATGTAGAATTTACAAATTTGCCCAAAGCACCAAAAACCTTTCACGTGAGACTTTGTACACACTAATGATGACTGGCCAGATCCTTCATTACTCACCACACAGAACTCTGATAAGACCCTGTCTGCCAGGCCAGAGCAGGGAGGGAAATTACTCTTAAGCCACAGGACAATGCTGGGGGACATACAAAGGGTATCAGTTGTCCACCAATAAATCTTAACAAAGAAAACTGCTAACTGGAGAAGTGAAGTTGTGGAACTGCCTTCCAAAATAAAGAGATGGCACAAAAAGTGTACGTGTTAAGATAGAAAGCAAGTGAATTTTAAGAGTGCTTGATCTATCACAGTGACCTTCTTGGATCATAAGAAGGTTCTTATTTCATCTATATCATAAGATCACAATTCTCCAACAAGATAAGCTTGTAATAGTATTGTGCATGTGTGCATTATAAATGACTACAGCAAGTACAATGCAATGGAGAAGGGAACCAGAGCACATCATTTAGAAATAAGCACAGTTCTGGTTAAAGTTCATGGTCATATAGCTTTTGGAAGATCACCACCGAACAGGATGATATGCTGGAGTCTAACATTGACTTCTGGTTCTAGCGAGTGTACAGTCTTCATAACATCACAGTATTAAGAAAAATATTCACAATATTTAAGAATACAAGAAACAATACATAAGAGGTTAGATAACTTCGCAAAATCCCTTCATGTTAATACTGAAAGGGGCTTTGCTTATTCAACTTTGCTTGTTAAACAGAGACCTCCATCTGTAATGCTCATAGCATGTGTGTTAACAAATCGGTATTAAGACATTTATTCCAACGACTTTCACATCACAGTGAATGAATACAAAATACAAATAACTGATAACTGCTAACAAAAAAATACTGAATTGTTGAACAGATGATCTCACACTCTTGTCTATTTTGCATTTCAGATCTCATAGTTTCTGAATTTCCTCAGAAGATCTGACGGAGCATCACCTGACCAGCGGAAACGCAAGTGCCAGTAATTTGCCTCTGAAAATCCTGAGAAAAAAAGAGAAAGACAAGTACATTCTTATAAACATATAAAACTAAGTTGTCTGAATTCATACTTGATAGTCTTCCCCCAAAAAAGTAAGTAAAATAATTGGTCACTTCCAGTGCTCCGGACAAGCATGCTGGATTCTTGGCATAATTCGAACAAAAACTCAAGCAAACATCAAACTTCAAAGATATATCTCTGCTGCAAAGAGTCCAAAGGAGAACAGAAAATAGGACTTATAAAGAAAAAATGAACAAATTGCATTTGCTTCATCTAAAGAAGAGATAGGTGGTGACATGGTAGATCTCCAACTACGTGAAAGGCAGGAGTGTGGAAGGAAGGTACAGATGGCCCTGTCCTCACACAAGGGAGGTTTTTGGACCCTGCACAATGGGCTGTTAATACTAAAAAATGTGATCTTCCTATATCAGAAAGCTGAAATCTATTACCAGACTTACTGTTAACAATCTCTTATTCAGGCTGAGAAAGCTACATGGAGTTGTAGTCCATAGTTCTTACAGACCAGCAGACAAGAACTGAAAATATCCCAGTTTAAAAATGGAATCCAGTATCATAAATTTTCCTGAACCAAAACAAAAGCATTATCAACATCCTAACATTAAGTCCAAACACTGAAGTGCATACAGGCCCTGTCAAATAAATATATTCTAAGATGAACATTTATTAATATAAATATACCCCCACTGGATAAAGTAAGTAGGCACTTGATTGATTGATATTTTTCACATTCAAGTCTATGGAAATTAAAATTAAACTTCTAAAAATTATGAGAGAGAAGATGCTGCAAAGAAAGCTCCCTGTTACAAAGAAACAAGAGGATGTTTTCATTGAAATTTCACTGCTTTACAAAGCATACAGTGATTATTACCAAAAGATAGCAAATAGTATAATGTTATAGAGCATAATTTTTAAATATAAAATTTTCAGTTACGCCTCACCTACATTTGTTTGTAGAGTCTTCTCATCTATTTTCTGCATTCCACAATATTTAGGATTAAATTAGGTTTTGCTACTCTCACAGTTCAGCTTAAATTTCCTGTTTGATCAAGCTGAAAGGACTTTGTTTAATAATAGTTCTGTGATAACTTAAGCCTAAGAATATGAAACACCTGAAGGATCAAGCAGAACAGAAGGTGGCTGTTGTGGTAAGTCAACTTTGATTCAGGCGCACTAACCTAAACAACAGACAGGAGATACTGTCAGGCCAGGTGACAGCTTTTGAAATATGCACTTACTCTGGTGCATGCACTATTTTTAAAAAAACCCTGTTCAAATACAAAAGCAGCCTTCAAATCTCAATTTTTAGTCCTCATTAACTCATCAGATGCAAACCGTGCATCAGTACTGAATGCTGGCTTAAAAAAAAAAAGACGACTATAATACCTAAGTGTTTTATCTAACATTTTAAAAAGTTATTAAAAAAAAAAAAATTCACTGAAAATAATTGCCTTTTTTTTTTTTTTTTCATTTTGATGTAGCAGCAAAACTGAACCTTCCATTTTGGTTTAAGAAAACGTTTTTTTTCCCCTTCTTCTCCAGTTTTTGGTTTTACTAGCAAACAAGTGAGCAAACATGGGGTAGGAAGGAAGAAAGGTCTGAAAGCTTCAAAATTAAATAAATAATTAACAACACAAAATCCGGAACAAAACCCCAACCCAAAACCACATTAGAAAAAGCCACCAGTTAAACATATTATTCTGGAGAAGAACTTCTCATGACTAAAAGCCTCCATTTCAGGCCAATCCCTGGATATTGCAATTTTCTGTAACTGCTGGTTTCACTTACTTGGGGAGTCTGGATTCTTTGAAGCCTCTGGTTTCACATCAGGAATTGCAACATCTTCTTGCTCCCTGTTCCCATCTGACAATCCATCTTCATTGTTTTCAGTATGTTGGGTCCAAATCTCATTAGTTATGTTGTTGCTGTTATTCAAGTCAGGAGCTTCCAGCATTTGGTCCTTCTTACTTTGGACAGCCCAGTGCATTGACTAAAGAAATGCAAAAAGTAACAAATAAACAACTAATTCCTATGATTTAAAAGATTTTTAATTAAATTCTCTTTTATTTTTTATATTGTTGTAATAAATGGTTAAACAAAGTCCATAGCAAGGAGCTTGCAGGTCAATAGGATAGGGCAAAGCTTACTTTTATATTGCAAGTACAGTTTGAGAGGGCAGTGGATGTCAGGTGGGGATGAAGAACAAAATGTACAAATGTATCAAATAATTATAAAGGTCTTTTGTCCAGTTTCTCCTGTCATGACTTCTGACACTTTTCTAAGAGGGCTCGAGTGACTTAGAAACTGTCCATTTTCAAAGCTCAAAGGTGCCCTTTGAAAGCAATACCTTCTGGAAAGCTTCACTGTTAACATCTGTGGAACAACTTCTGTTTTGAACTGAGCTAAGCTTCATGGGATACTTCCAGCAAATGTTTAAGCTCAGGTGTAACACTTTAGCTGAAGAGGCCCCCAAACTTCTTTCATAAGCAGAATTGAGGTGGGCAGAACTGACAAGGGAAACATTTATTCACTGCCTTAAAATCTGCCCGTGTAGACTTGTAATTATCATTCACCCTAATAAGGCACACACACAAAAAAAGATCAAACATTATGGAATTAGGATCTACTAGGAACATGCTACCAAATTACCTCACTAGCAAAATTAGGAAGGAGAACAATCCTTGGAAACCATTCCTCTGTCACAGATCACCCCACTAGCCTAGAAGAGCCCTTCCAAAGACCTGCATGAAGCCCAAGTTCCAAGGAACCTACCTTCTAGATTTTGTAATGAGCTCTTTATTTAATCAGATAGCATGAAAAGCTATCCAATAAGTAATACACCAAAAGGAGAATATATTATACAAAAATCCTAGCTTTGAAAATAAATAAAAGGTTCCTACAATGAAGCATTTGAAAACAGCCCTTAGGTTACTATAGTCCTCCAATTTTTTCTGAATTTCCTTAACTTCCTTAGTGCAGGAATGACGCTGCATTCTTCCCGTCCCCAGAACCCACCACTGCAGCAGAAGTGGTGTAACTCATCCCTTTGGTCACTGGACCAGCCCTGCCCCTCTCTCCTCCTGAAGGCCCAACCTTGGGCACCACCAACCGTTTTGACAGACTTGCTGAGAGCCTCCCACTGCTGGAACGGAATGGTGATTTTACTTCGCCGCCAGTAATCATAATGCGCTCGACTCTCTTCGTTAGAAAGAATCTCCTTAGCTTGCTGGAGCTTCTGGAAATTCTCCACTAGAATACAAACCAAAAAGATACTGAAGCCAGTATTTGTTTTCAAAGAAATTAATTCCGAGGCTAAAGGGGAGCTACCAACAGTGGCTTATAGCAAACAGAGCAGAGGGGACCGAAGGAGAGCTGAGTGCCAAAGGTGTGGGGTTGCTCTGCTGACAGCTTTGCACAGTTTTAGCTTTAGGATCATAGCGCCTTCGGCAGACAACTGACGTCCTTTTCAAATGAGGCCTAGAAAGCTCATTTGTCTTCTGGCTTCAAAACCACCTAAATTTAAGTTCAGAGAAACTGACAGAATTCAGCGGGCAAAAGGCAGGAGTCACCCCCTGCAGACAACCTTAGAAAGAGAAATAGAACTAGAGTAACAAAGCTTAGGAGGGATGTACTCACATCCACAGCAGCAAGGGAGTCAGAGCAGAGCACAACACCAAGAAAGCATGAGGAGGGGGGGAGTACAACAAGCAAAAACTGACAAGCAATAAGAGGAATCTAAATAGCTTTTAAATTAACTAACATGTGCATTTTATTAGGTATGTTTTCAGCATATGCAAAAATGTTATCTTGAATACCAGCCCGCATGAATGACAGCTCTTCTTTTTCCCTACAGGGTAATTTTTCATTAAATGGTTTCTAAGGATGCAGCTGTGTGTCACTGTTTGTAGAGGGTTATAAAGATTTAGATTTTATCTATGAGTCATCTGTGTTACAGTGATCTATTATTATTATTATTCATTTATTCCTGTTTACAAATTAGAGAGATTTCTTTTGAAATACACTGAACTCAAACAGTAATCAAAATTGATAACCATAAATCAAACAACAGACAAGAGGTTGAGGGGGCAGTTCTATTAGGTTTCTTTTTTGTAGCATCACTAGTTTTCAACGAATAAAAAGTCTATTTTATTTACTCTTTATTGAAAAGAAACTTTCACCAGTCCTGTAAAAAGGCATTTAAAGTAAATACAGCACATTCAGGTAAATGGAGCATAAAATATTTCTTGACAAAACTGCTCCAACGTTTGGCACGTGGCCTCCTTTTTTTGCGTTATTTAATTTCAATTAATTGGGGGAGGGAGTGGTGGGTGATGGTGCAGACAGACAGGTCCATGCACTAGAATAGCCTTGTTTCCCTGCTGCAATAGCCAGAATTTTCTGCAGAGCAAGTCGGTTCCATTGGTTTCATTGGTATTCGTGCTATCATTTAGAATAAATTAAGTATTAGTGATCAGATTATTGTTAATAGGTGGTAGATTGTCTCTCAAACACCAAATCTGAAGAGGTTCCTTGTCAGGGAATCTCAAAGTGAAGAATTCCACCTATTTCACTGTTTAACCCCCACCTTGTCAGCTCTCTGATCTCAGGCTCAGAAGGCACACCAGGGAGGACAGCCAAGCCCTGCTGAGCTCTGCTGGAGGCAGTGGAGTCTCTAACACAGGTGCTCGTGCTATCATTTAGAATAAATTAAATATTAGTGATTGTTGTTAATAGGTGGTAGATTGTGTCTCAAACACCAAATCTGAAGAGGTTCCTTGTCAGGGAATCTCAAAGTGAAGAATTCCACCTATTTCACTGTTTAACCCCCACCTTGTCAGCTCTCTGATCTCAGGCTCAGAAGGCACACCAGGGAGGACAGCCAAGCCCTGCTGAGCTCTGCTGGAGGCAGTGGAGTCTCTAACACAGGTGATACTCCCAGCTCTGCTCCATCAGGGGAGGCTGTGGGTCAAGTCAAACTCACACAAGTAGATGAGCTATTGTGTTACTTTATGTTTATGTTGTTCAGTTTATAAAGGAAGAATTCAAAGGAAAAGTTTTGTGCATTAATCAAAGAAGCATATTTAATTTTTCAACAACAATCTTTTGGTGGGGACCCTAATTATGATCAGAACAACCTTTATTAAAAGAATATAAACTATTCAGACCTTAGTGAACACTGGTTAGAGCTAACTGGTGGTTAGGAATGGGTAAGACTGTCTTCAAATAACTCAGGTGCTGCTCAGCCGTCACAGGCACGATGAACTGCACGCTTTCATAAATGCAAATGTTAGCTGCTTGTCTGCAAACAGATGGCTACTCATGTGGCGCTGGCTTCTCTTTATTTCCAGCCATTAAATTACATTAAAAGAAACTAAAGTACATTTAATGTGTTCCTGATGGGCTTGTTCATGAAAGCAAATTAACTAGGTGACGCAAGTATGACACTTGAACACCACCGAGCATGGAAGCAGGCCAGCTCCACAGGTCTAGAAAAGGATACACTCTATAAATAACTTCTGAATTAAAGGATATTTACCATAGAAAGAAAAAAAAAAAAGAAAGTTCTAGGGGAAAAAAAAAAATTAAACTAGTGTCTTCCTGCTCTACCACCTAGGAGTGTGCAAGTGTTAGAAAAGAATATTAAAGCTTGCTATTTAAAGATGATATGCTCAAAATAAACATGACAATTAAAATATATTGGGGAAAATGAATATTTAATAAAGTCTTAAGTCTGAATTTAACAGCTTAGTAGTTTAGTCGTGTTAAGGTAAGACAAAAATAGATTGCTTTTTAACAGGGAAGAATATATACCTGCTTTGGGATTTCCAGGATGTTTGTCAGGATGACATTCAAGGGCTTTAATCTTAAATTCCGCAAGGATTTGTTCCACCTAAACAGAATGTTGAGATTTAAAGTAAGTAAATACGTACACATAGAAAAGATTTTCAAATTTTCTTTTTGAAGGGTGTTGGGAGGAACAGCAAAGAATGCTGAAAGATTTTTTCCTATTCATTTTTACAAGCTTTAGTACAAGCAAAATAGAGGTAACAACAACCATCTGTCAGTGGCACTGCTTATTTAATTTCATTCTCCATGCACTCATCCTAATGTGCAAAGATCATGTGTGCAAAACCCTTTCTTCACATTTGAGCACGTAGGCAAAACACATCACTTCAGTCGCTCCTCGCTCTGTTTAATCAACTCTAACTTTTAACAAAATCTCATTGCAAGAAGCAAAGAGTTTCTGTATTGCTGAAGATCAATTTGGGGGATTGGGTGGCTTCCCTCACACCATCTTCACAGGAAATTTAGCCAGTACCACATGACTTTTCTATCTGGGATACCACAAAGCTGCACCACATTCTTCCCATCAAGTTAATTTTCTGTGCCAAAAGGTTGACTTGGAATAGAATAAATTTATAATCAATATTAGAATATTGGCATGTATTAGTTAATTACAAGTTCCCACACAGTTTATAGTACCATAAAGTATTACAATCACTGGGAAAACAAAGACATAGCAACAGGTAACAAAATACAAGAAACCACTGGAGTGGGCTTTAGATTTTCAAATTTTCAGATTTTTCAAAGTATCTTGCTTTTTCGTATAATTCAGAAGCCAAAGTTTCTTTGTATCTCTCCAGTACAGCTTAAGCTTTTACAACAATTTGCCCTAAAATATCAATTAGCTACTATTCTTTCCCGTGCCAGAAAGGCTGTTCATATAAATTCCTCATCCTTCAAACCCTGATATCCATACATAATTTAAATTATTTATTTCAAGGTGAAAGCTCATAACCTTTTAATAAAATTCCAGTTCACTCAACTAGCTAGCTAAATTTTGCCATCATATGCTGGGAAAAATGTGGTCTAAGAATTCCACACTTTTTGATCTTCTCAGTATCTTCTTCCAGAGGGAGAGATGTAAAGTGGTATATTTCCAGGCAGAAAGACACTTAAAAGTATGGACATTGTACAAAGAACTTGTTGAAACTGGTTACTATATGTAGCTAGCTACCATCTTTAAAACTTAATTATAAGAAGGGGAACATTAAAGTTAAAATATGTACAGTAGCAGAGGGGTAGCGTGGAAATCTTCGGTTTAAAAAAAAAATCAGTAGAAGTTTTTACAAAATATATAAAATTTATATAAAATATTCAGTGAGATGTTTTACCAAGAAAAATATGCAATACCCACTGGCACTGTCCTTGGAAGAAGGATGAAGATTAAATCTACCCTCTTCCTCTCAAATCTGAAGATGAACTAGGTGTCGATGCACTCATTACTACAAGTCAAGAAAGTATGTGTTTACTTGAATATAGGGAAAAATCTGTAGAAAGTGAGACTATTTGTGCTTAAATTTAACCAGGTCAGATCAAGACCTGAATATTCAACACCTTAGATGAAGGTAGTGCTGCTGGGAATGTGCTTGTATGTGCCTAAAGAAGCCTGTGCTGCTGGCAAATACTTAACTGCATGTACAAAGAAATGGGAGTGCAAAACACCTGTAATGCTTCAAATTTCTGTTAAATGTCAGAAGTAGTTGTGTGCACCATCCTGAGGGAAGGCAATCACAGTGCTCAGTCAACTTCTGATCTCAGTTCCTACTCCCATGTCAGAAATAATCTAATAACATCTGCTGCTTCTCTCAACAAATAATACTTGACAGATTATTTTTCAGTACCCATTAGCATTTATTCCGTCTTTTTCATTTCATTTCGAAGCAATTTGAAAAATCGTTATCATGTCTTTTTCATTTCGAAGCAATTTGAAAAATCGTTATCATCCATACTTGAAGTATTCATTAATTGCTAAGCCCTTAAAGAATTAACGGGAGGTAAAAACTGAGAAATAGCATCTGGGAAACGAGCCTACACAGAAACTTTAACACCGCCCTCTGCTGGGATGACTTTTTAGGAGTTATCCCAGGAAAAGCTTTCCATTCCCTTCTGGAGCAGCTCGAAGAGGCTTTGAGTGACAGGAAAGCCAGAGGTGTTTTCCCAGCATTTGACTACTAGGACAGCTGGAGAGCATCTGATTAAATTTACGGAGCAAAATTTTTATCTAACTCTGAATACACCTTTTATCCCGACTGAATACAGCCTTCATTACAGCAGAGTAATCAAAACTCCTTTTCCAAAATCAAAACACAATTCCAGTTAATACAGCAACTGGATTAAAAAATAATAGTGTACCACTAACTCAAATGTTAGTGTTACAAAAAAATGTTACACAGGCACCGTTAGGAAGAAGGACACTGGTTTTAGCTTAGTGTACCACTAACTCAGACTATCCAAAAAATGTTACATGGACACCGTTAGGAAGAAGGACACTGGTTTTAGCTACAAATAATTCAACAATTGGTTAGCTAAATCTCATTCTAAAGTATGAGATCTCCTTCCAAAACAAACTAGGAAAACTGGTATTTGAATGTCATTAAAATTAGCATTTAAAGCTCTCATTAATAAGATGAATGAAAAAAAGGTATTATTTTTGTTTTTCCTCCCAACCAATGAATACAGGTTTTAACAAATTTTTAAAATATGTATAAAACCTGAGAAACCCAATAGCATCATCAGTGACCTACAGCTATGAACATTCATTGTATTAGTTGCATATAAATAGCCTTTTTTCATCTTTTAAAATTGAAAATATATTCCAAAATATTATTTGGGTGTTCTCAAATTGATTCAGTTGGCTCATGATTCATAACTACATCACATGTTGAACTAATGAATAAACTATTATTTTGGTTGTATCTATAACACAATCCTGTTTTATAAGACATTTTTAATCTAAGCCATATTCTAGGATCTTAACATCGGTATAGAGGTCAGAAAATTGAGCTTTGCCAAGGGAGATACTAAAAGATGAAAGTGGCAAGAAAGAAGGTTCACAACGCGTTTCAAATAGTCCTGCCTGGAGAGAGAAACAACTTCAGATCCCCCCTGCAGACAGACAAGCACATTCAAAATGTTATTAACCTGGAGGGGGGTAGCGGGGGGGAAGGCTCTTACCGTAGAGAGTTCATCACATCCCAGCAACTTGTAGTAATCTTCCAAGTCATCTGGTCTGCAGTTGAGAATCGCATCCATCCCGGCGAGCCCAGCAGGCTGCTTCCAGCCGAGGCACGGAGGGTGTAAGAGAGAGAACCAATTCAAAGCCCACGCAGGGGTTTGGGAGTAGCCCAGGGAAACAGGCAGTTTGCACTCAGGTCTGCAGCTCTCCTCGGTGCTTTTTAATACTGGCAGCTGACACACATGAATTTTCTTGAGTTCTCTGCCTGCCATTGGTTCCCGCAGGATGCCAATCCGGTTGCACAAACCTGCTGACAGCAATGCTCCCTGGGATTTGTAGTTGCCAAAGGCACGTCAACATTGAACTCTGGGTGTCACCCACACTGAAAAGAGTTCTGGATACTAACGACAATAGAGCTGTATTTCAGATTTAGATCGTGCCATCACGTGTATAGCAGCTTAAAATCAGACACATGCTTAAAGGCTTTCCTGCAACTGAGCCTACATATACTAAAATATATTTTCTGCTTAATTTTTAATTGCAACCTTTGCCACAGTGTTTGACAAGGAGATTGTATTGGCAATTATAGAAAAGAGTAAGGACTACTTCCAAAATAACAATTACAGGGCTGCAAACTTTTGAGAATGAAGGACCCTCCTTGCCAAAGCCCCTCAGAGTTCTGTCAGACACTTCAACGGGAAGGAGTGAATCTTTACTCTTTGAAGGCCACCTAGGATATACACATACTATTCTCCAAAAACAAACAGAATTATAGGGGTTGGAAGGGACCTTTGGAGATCATCTCCTCCAACCCCCCTGCCAAAGCAGGATCACCCAGAGCAGGTTGGACAGGAACGTGTCCAGGTGGGTTTTTAGTATCTCCAGAGAAGGAGACTCCACAACCTCTCTGGGCAGCCTCTTCCAGGGCTCTGCCACCCTCACAGTGAAGAACTTTTGCCTCATGTTGAGACAGAATTTCCTGTGTTCCACCTTGTGTCCACTGCTCTTTGTCCTGTCACCGGGCACCACTAAGAAGAGTTTGATCCCATCCTCTTGATGCTCACCCTTTAGATATTAGTAAGTGTTGATAAGATCCCTTCTCAGTCTTCAGACCAAACAGACCTCAGCCTTTCAAGAGTACCAGTACCTCAGTTGTATACGTCTGACAAAATTAATACTCTGAAATACATGAAATACTGTCTACTATCACATTAAATAGAGACTCTCATGCTAAATTACTTTCAATTGAGTCTTGAGGTCTGTATTGTGTGCAAAACATATTCCTTGTAAAACTCATTTTACGTTGAAGTGAAACACTTTTAATTTAGAACTGTGATTAACAATCAAGGCCTTAGTCCAACAAAGGCTAAACAAAGACAAGTTTAACTGCAGTCTCTTCTATGATCTATTGATTTAAAAAGATTACTGTCTGGGTGTAATACTAATCACTTGCTGAAGTCTTTTCTCTGGAGCCTAAGGAGCTCTATTTTTACCTTCCCCATCCCTGCAAAAGCTTTGTAATCCAAGATGTTTAATGTCATTAAATATTGCTGATTCTTTAAAGTAGCACTTACAAACAGATGCCTTGAATAGTTACACAATTTTAGAAGCAGTGACCTAGTGCAGGAGAGTCTACGCAGAACAGATACACGGGGTGTGACTGAGGCCAGAGCAGGTGTGTGTTCATCAGTGGAGAACCTAGTGGCCATTCAGAACTGTTTATAAAATAATTCCTGCATTTACAAGTGCTTTATCTTTTTTTATCTATGGCTATTCATATGTTGAAATTATCTACATACAATATTTTTCTCCCACTATCTTCTCTTCAAGGTTGTACTGCCTGAAATTCTCCTTTTTTTTACTGTATGTTCAGATAGCCTATTAAGATTATAGAAGATAAAAAGTATATGAAAAGAAGCAACAATAGTATTAAACAGCAAATCACAAGCCCCAGTGAAAACATTTAAATCTGTTAGAAAACACTACTACCATATTTCTCTGAATAAATAAAACAATAGATGCACTTCTTCAACAAAGTAGAGGAACTGGAAATCACAAATCTCTCCCCCATTCATAACTTGATAATAAGCCAGAAAAGTAGATGAAAGAAAAGTAAGCCTTTTAGCAAGAGATCATGTAAATATTTAAATAGATTGTACTTTGGGGGAGGATAAAAAACAAACAGCTGTCCCTCTTCCCAACAGCACTCCTGACATACTGTTCTTGTCCAAGTATTTCTTGCATATTTGCGTAAGGTGAAAGGGAAGGCTCTTTAACCCTTTTCCCCTCCAGTTTTCAGTGGCTATTTCTGTGCTGCAAGCCAAGCCACAGGCTCAAGAGGTGGATTTGGACAAAACCCTGAGACTTGCAAGCTGCTTGTTCACAGGGAATTTGCTCGCTGAAGCTTTGGTCCCTTCTACACTCTTGTCCGTTCAGACCAAATAAACAAGGGTTCTGACTCAAATTACAGCAGTGACCATACTCGTGTTCCCCCCTTCCCAGAGATTTCCAGTGCTTGGGGCATAAAAAGTCCTGCAGCACAGTCTGAAGGTTTGTGTGTGGAGATCACAAAACACTGGTACCAAATAATAGCTCAGTCTTTCACTGCTCCAGCTGACTGCAGTGGGACAACTCACAGAGCAAGGTGCCATCCAAAAAAGGAGAGCAAGAAAACCTGCATATAATGTGCAGAAAAAAATATAAAGATTGCCTGCAGGACATAAACTTTATTTGAGAGAGAGTCACAGTGCAGGAGATGGCACAGCTTATGTGCCTACACATGTTTTGGTTAGTGTTGCCCAGAACATACAAACAGTACTGGAAGTGAGGAAATCTCATATTTGTTCTCTGTACCCAACCACGAACAAAACGTTTCTATTCATTCCTGACACATGATCAACAATTTTGCTTGTTTAAAGCCAAGAGTGAAACTAAATTCTGCTTCAGTACAACAGGACGCTGACCATCAACTTGTAAAAGTCATAAATGGCCTTTTAAATAAAACAGCAAGCCCTGGAAATCTGTATTTGAGTTTATCCCCATAAAATACATCAAATCGTCTAGTACCACTTTTTCTCAACTGACTTTAGATGTTTTGCTTCCTGAGGGCTGAGTACACATTTTCAAGCAGGTGAAGGCACAATGTAACTCAAATGAATTTTGCATTTCATGCTCCATCCTTGTCCCTAAACATGCTCAGAGCTGCAGAAACAGAAGAGAACCAACCAAAGCACTACCAAACCGACGTCCCCCTTTAGGGGCAACTACTGCAACATCATTAACACGAACAAATGCTTGCGATACCAGAGTCAGCCTCACGATCCTTGAATCTCGTCCTCACCAGTAACTTCACAGAAAGCTTTAGGTCATACACCTGTATCACTTAAACATTTTCTTCCTTTAGAACAATCTCCACGTAAATTAGCACCAAACCAAGAACATTAAAGTCACACCTCTCCTTTACATGCTGACAAAAGAATGTGCTTATTAAGAAATGTGAATCTTGTCTCAGTTTCAGTAAGGAAGAAGAATGCTTGTGTACAAATTTGCACAGAATAATAAAAAAGCTGCTCTGGTTGTTTCATAGCTTATTTTTGAGACATAGGTAAAGTGTGTAAAATAAGTAGTGTGAGAAATGGCGTGTACATCTTTTGAGGGGTTGTTGATACCTGAGAGAAACAGAAAAAAAATCCCCCACAACACATAAACTGCCTATAAAGTCAGTATCTATAAAATAATCCCTTCTGAAGCAAAACCACCCACATATTTACAATTTTAACGCAGAGGTATTTTAAAAAGCTGTCATTATCGAGGCCTGCAAGGGAGAAATTCTACCTGTCGTTAGAGCTCTTGCTGGAGGAAGGAATGAGTAGGGGGTGTGTGGGGGTGTGGGGGGGCGTGTGAGACAATCTCCACAGGGACGGGCTTCCCCCTTCCCGCCGGGAACGACACCGCACCGCCATGCGGTAAAAGGCCGGGCAAAAGGCCCATCTTGCTCCCCTGAGCGTCGGCCGCCCGGCTGCCTGTCCCCTGAGGAGAAGCCGCCATCTTGCGAGCACCGCCCCTCAGCCGCCCTCCCCTCTCACGTGACCCGGTTTGTTGTTGTTGCGGCCTCCGCGGGGCGCGGGCGCCCGCGTGGGCGGTGGCGCGGTCACGTGCCGCCTTTTAAATGGCTCCCGTGGGTGAGGGTGGGGGGAGGGGGCGGCTGCGCGCTGCTGCGCCGGGCGCGAGCGGAGGGGGGCGGCGGTTGCTACTCTCCAAGATGGCGGACGAGGAGGCTCCGCTCCTACGGCCCCGCCGCGGCGGCCCCGCTGAGAGCGACGAGCCCGCTCTCAAGCGCCAGCGTCTGGACTCGGAAGACGGCGACGGCGGCGGGTGGGACGCGGCGTCCGCACAACGCCTGGCCCGGCCCGTCGCCGCTGTGGCGGCGG